GACATCTCACCCCAATTCCTCTACAGGCAAAGTGCCTTTTGCCTTTGGCTTCTTTCAGGATTTTGTCTTTATCTTTGGTTGTCTGTCATTTGAATGTGACGTGCCTAGGTGTATTCTTCTTGGCGTTTATTCTGCTCGGGGTTCTCTGAGCTTCCTGGATCTGTGGTTTGGTGTCTGACAGTAATTGCAGTCGTCATTCCTCCAAGTATTTTCTCTGTTCCTTTCTCTGTTCTCCTTCTGACATTAACGCAACGCATAAGTTACACTTTGTAGTTGTCTCACTGTCCCTGGACAGTCCATCCTGCGTGTATCGGTCTTTTTTGGCTGCATCTGTTTTGCTGCTCAGGCTCAGCTCACGGATAACCCTGTGTCCCTGCTGTGTCTGTGTCTGGCTCAGAGGCTGGCTCTGTCTCTTCAGAGTGGGTCCTCTGCTTTCGTGATGTGGCTTGTCATTTTTCCTCGTGGCCGGACGTGATGCACATGCACGCGGGAGCTGCTGTCAGGGGACCTTAGTCCCTCAGAGGGAGGCGGGGGCAGTGTTCTGTAGTTCCGGGAACGGCTCCGTGTCTGGCGCCCGAGCCTCTGCACCGTGAGCCTCACGGCGCTTGTTTCACGTCCGATCCCTTCGGGACAGGACGGCCAGTATGAGCGGCAGCTGACTGTCCCTCCTCCAGGTCAGCCGGGCTCTGGTAAAGCCCCAGCAGGTGAGGCTCCGGGTGGCTGGTGTCCCCGAGGACAGGACTCATCAAGAAAACAGCGCTCCTGGCATTCCAAGTGGTCTGTTCCCGCCCGGCCGGGGACTGAGGGTTCCCCTCCAGTGTTTACGTGCGAGCCTGCTCGGGCCTGTGGGTACCTCTCACGGGGGCCCTGCGGCTGGGTCTCCTGGTCCTCCCCTCTTAGAGGCCTCTGCCAAGCCCCCCACAGCTCGTCAGCTGTTGCCACGCGGAGCCCACCTGCTGTCCCCGCCCTGCGCGTATTCCTGCCTCGCCCCGGTGCGGACAGTGGTTTGCTGTGGCCACCCTTCGCCGATGGCTCTGCTTTGCAGCTTGTCCAGCACCCTACTTGCCAGGCCGACGGTGGCCTCCCAGCTCCGTACATGTGGTCTGCAAACCCGAGGTCCGAGAACAGTGTTCACGATTTCTCGTCACGTCATACAGATCAGGGTCTGAGGGCTACACGCGGCTGTTGATGATTTGTTCCTTAAGTCTTTTTTAAAAAACTTGATTATGGGAAAATTTAAAACCAGACAAAATGTGCAGAAAACTCTAATGAAACCGAGTTCCCATCTTCCAGCAAAATGTCGGTCAGCTCGTGACCTGTCTTATTTCATTTGCACCCCAAGAGCACTAAGCCCCTGGGGTCCCCACTGTGCCCCTGCGGCGACCCCATCCTCTGTTGTCACATCACATTAGCAGAGTTGTCAGTATTTTCCTTTAAAAGACGTGTGGTATTTCTAAACAAACACAATGCCGTGTGATTCTTAAAAGCGTGGCAGGAACCCTTTAACGTCTTCAACTGGTTGGGCCCAAAATTGCAGCTGTCTTGTAAGTGTCCCGGTGGTTGGGGCCACACCTGCGGCGGTCGGTGGTTCTCCAGCCCCCATCGTAGGGAAGAGGCCGAGTGGCTCCCTGGTGGTTTCCTGGGGTCCGCCCGCACCCTGTTCAGAAGCTCGCTTTCTCGGCCATGTCAGCAGCCTTGGTGCCCGGGCTGGAGCCGCCCACCTGTTAATGATGCGGTCCTGATCGTCCTCCACAGCTGACCTGTGAGCAGTCCCGTGAGCTGCGGTTCCCGCACGGGGGCACCTCAGGGGTTCCCTCCGTCCCATGCCCGCTCTCCCGGGGTCACGCCCCAGTGGGAGCTCAGAGCACGTCTGGACGCCTGGCACCTTGTGTGCTCCGGCCTGTGTGTGGCTCTTGTGGAGAAGGGCCAGCGCCCGCCCTCAGAGCCCATGTCGGGGTGCCAGTCCGACTCGGCACAGCTGCACTGACGTCCCGTGTGTCCTGGGCCGATACCGCCACTTCGGTGCCCAGACGTCAGCTGGCTGTCCCGCTGGGCAGTGCTCTAAGGCCCCTGTGTCTGTGGCCTCTTGGGGAGCCAGGTGCTGCTTCCGCTTCCACTCGTCTCCCCGGCCCCTGTGCTGACGCTGTGTTTCTGTCGTAGGACCCTTCTCTGCTGGACGGCCGTGTGGCGCTGCTCCACGTCCCGGGCGGCACGGTGGTGTCAAGACAGGGAGACCAGGTGAGCAAGAGAACGCGGTCCAGGCGAGCAGTCGCCAGGGCTGTCGGGCACTGCAGCCGGGCTGGATGGGGGGCGCTGGACGCACAATGCAGGGTCTCGTCACCGTTTCCATGAAGGCTCCCCTCGGGCTTGTCCTCATGGGGCGGGCACGTGTCCACACTCACATGCGCGTGCACATGTGGACGTGTTTCCTGGTCACACACACAAGCCAGGAAGAAGGGCGTCTTCTTCCCCAGCTCTTAAACCCAGCCGCAGACGAAGATCCGTTCTGATTCCACACACGAAGGAGTCTCCGGTTCTGGGAGCCTCAATGTGCTGGGCGGGTCGCACCTCCGCACCTCTGCCTGGCCGGGAGGCGGGAGCCCTGGGCCGTCTCTGTGGGGGTCGCACCCTCTGGCCCGCACGCCAGCGTGCTTGTGCCTTCTGCGTTCAGAGCAGCCGCAGCCAGACCCGCTCTCTTGCTGGGGAGGCAGACCGAGCCTGGGCCTGCTCTCCGGTCTGCTCGCCCTGTGTGCTTTATGGGCTGGGCCCAGGTGACACCAGCTGATACGGGGCGGGACGGAGGGCGGCAGGGGCTCTGGGCACGTGCGGCATTAGGCCTTCTGGACGTGCTGCCGTAGGCACCACGTCGCTGTTTGTCTCCGCCCTGGCCCTTTTCTCCTGGCTTTTCCTCAAAGGACACAGACTGCCACTGACGTCGTGTACCGCGCAGCCTGGCCGCCATAGTGGGGACAGCCTTCTCCCCATGCTGCGCTGCCAAGTGCCCCAGGGGCCACGGCCGGAGCAGTAGCTGGCCTCAGTGTGCCCCAGCCTCCCAGACCTGCGCCATCAAGCAGCCCTGGCCCCATGAGCACAGCCAGCCTTTCATTTCCGCTGCACTGGCTGTGGCTCGGACCATGAGGTCATCAGTGGGGCCGGGTGAGCCAGTTCCAAGCGGGCGTGTGACGGGCAAAGGCTCGCACGGGCCGTGTAGCATTGGCCCTGCAGTGCGTGTGATGGGTCGGGGCATGTGGGGGACGGGCCTGCCAGCCACTGTCAGGGCTGCACAGAGTCTTGGAGACTCAGCTTGTGGATCACTTTTGAGGAAGAGAGGTTGTACCCTCTGCTCGGTGAACACTAAGCGGGTCGCACGTTTGTGTGGGACAGAGAAGCATGCGGGTGCATGGGTGGATCCTTTGTGAGTCCAAGGCTGGGCTGACTGCCCCAGGCCTCCTGTGACCGATAATTAAATGACAAAACTGCCCGTGGACACTGCCACATGTCTCCAGTTGTGAGACGAGTCAGACAGAGGTGGGCAGCTGACCACGGGCCCGCGCCTGTCCCCGCCAGGACGTGAACATTCTCTTCGTGGTCTCGGGGCTGCTGCACGTGTACCAGCGGAGGGTCGACAGCGAGGAGGACACCTGCCTGTTTGTCACACGCCCCGGGGAGATGGTGGGCCAGCTGGCCGTGCTCACTGGCGAGCCCCTCATCTTCACCATCAGGGCCAACAGGGACTGCAGCTTCCTGTGCATCTCCAAGGCGCACTTCTACGAGTGAGTCCACCTGCGGGGCTCTGCTCGGGTCCCGCCCCTCGCCCTGCTCCCGCTCGAGGAGGCAGGAGTCCTGGGAGAAGGCAGGACAGCGGCGTGACAGGGAGAGACGGCAGGAATGGGTGTCATGCTGTGGAGGCGAACTGGACGGACGTAAACCCCACTCAGCCGTCCAGGCCCAGACAGGGGAGCAGCCTGTGGGGGGCCCAGGCCTGGTCCCTCTGCGTGTGTCTGTGTGTTCTTGGGTGTCTGTGTGCTCGTGTGTCCCTCTGTCATGTGTTCATGTATATCCACATGTGTATCATCACGTGCGTGTCGTGTGTCTGTGGGCTCACAGCACGAGCCCCCGAGGTGGACAGCTCTCTCAGAGCCACTAGCACTGGGTGTACATGGGGTGGATGGAGCAGGTGGCCAACTGAGTGCCGTGCTCTGTCCCAGTCCCTGGCCAAGGGCCGCGTCCCCTGCTAAGTGGGTCTTACTGATCGATAAGTGGAGGTGCAGGCCCTGCCTGTTGGCGCGCGCCTTAGCCTGGAGGGAAGGGGCAGAGCCAGCACGGGGCTGGAATGACTGGGCTGGCGCGGCAGGATCATGCGGAAGCAGCCGACCGTTGTCCTGGGCGTGGCGCACACAGTGGTGAAGCGGATGTCGCCCTTCGTGCGGCAGATCGACTTCGCGCTGGACTGGATGGAGGTGGAGGCCGGGCGTGCAGTGTACAGGTGGGCCCGCGGGGCGGGGCTGGGCGGAGGCGGAGGTGGGGCCTGCAGAGCACAGGTGGGCCCGCGGGGTAGGGCTGGCTGGGGGGCAGACTGGCTGGGCATGGCTCCCGTGGCTCTGAAGTTTCCAGAACACGCCTTGGGCTCCTCCCATTCTGTGCTGATGTGCACACACAGGCACACAACGTTTCCGTGGCATCTTTCCACGTCAGTACCTGCAAATCCACACCCTCCCTTAAGACGGCCCAACAGAGGCATCGCTCCTGCAGCCTTTGTGAGCCTCTGTGCCACGGGCTCCCCTGTGATCTCGGAGGAGCACCCTTATCTTCTGGTTAGGACAGCGGCTAATCCGGACCTGAGTCATAGCTGTCGATTTTGTGGTATTAAAGCTAAGGAAGTTTTATTTAATCAGTTACAAACCACCAGGAGCCCTTTCCATGTTAGCATATAGGTTTTTTAATGGAAAATAACTATTGTCCAAAAAAATTTAGGGAGAAGACTGCATTCCTTTATTAGCATGGGGGCGGGGGTGGCGGGGGCTCCTGGCCTGTGCCCTGCCCACTCCCAGCGCCCCACCCTCACAGGCAGGGGGACAAGTCGGACTGCACCTACATCGTCCTCAGCGGCCGGCTGCGCTCCGTGGTCCGGAAGGATGACCTCAAAAAGCGCCTGGCTGGGGAATATGGCCGTGGCGACCTCATCGGTGTGGTAGGTCTGAGGTGCCCTCGGCTGCGTCGCATGCTGGGGCGGCGCCCGGCCCACCTGGCTCCTTAACTGGGCGAGGGGAATGAGCCCTCGGAGTAACTCGGTCGGAGGGGGAGGGTGATTACCCCCGCAGTTCTTAGGTTCGAGCAGTTTGCCTGCTCCTAGCCTGGGCAGCAGCACTGGGGTTGCCTCTGGAGGCCAAAGGTCAGAGGTCTCTAGGAGGGATGGGGCCCAGGTGGTTCCTCCAAGACCCTCGTGTGTGGGAGGAGGCCCCGGCTGGGACAGCTGCCTGCCCTGTTCTCGGTGCCTCACGGGGCACCCTGTCTTGGGTGCTGGGGCCCCTTCAGCCTTGGCAGGTCCGGTGCTGCTGACCGTGTGCCCCCTTGCACGCCGCAGCACAGTGGGCTGGGCGGGTGCCTTTCCCTCCCGCTAGTCACCTGCTCCACACTTCCAGAGGAGCGGCTGTGCGCTCTGCCCACCAGTGTGACACAGGCTCCTCCGGTCCCCTCAGGTGGAGACGCTCACACACCAGCCCAGGGCCACCACCGTGCATGCCATCCGCGACTCGGAGCTGGCCAAGCTCCCCACAGGGGCCCTGACCTCCATCAAGCGCAGGTACCCACAGGTGAGGGCTCCTGCCCAGGCTGCATGGGGGTGGGCGTCACCGTGAGGTCATGATCGCTGTGCAGCGGGCTGTGTCCTGTCTGAGGTCACCGGGGGGCTCAGGTGAGACAGTGGAACAAACTGGCTTCATGTTTTTGAGGGCAGACAGGGCCTCGGGCAGGTGTGTGGGCGCCGGCCAGAGGTACAGAGGGCACAGGGACCCAGCAAGTGAAGCCCACCTGGCCCCACGTGTCTGAGGCTGTGCCCCGACCAGCTGTGTCACAGGTAATAGCAGGTGGGGACAGGGCCTAGTGGCAGTGTGGTCTAGGCAGTGCAGACCTTGCTCACTGTGCAGCTCGGGGAAGTCGAAACCGAAATCTGAGGAGGGCAGGCAAGGCTTGGGCCAGCCCGCTATGCGTCCAGGCAGCAAGATGGGGCCCGCTCCTGGGGCGTCCCCACACTGGCTTTCTGGTCTTCACGCCCTGCCTGAGTAGCAGGGGGCAGCCGAGGAAGCAGAGGGTCAGGCCCGTCCACTGCTTCAGCATGGCAGCAGGTGTCCTGCAGACATCAACGTTCTAGAACAAATGGCAAGTCCCCCAGGCCCTTTTATGACGTTAACACGCCTGTGATACCAAAGCTCAACAGGAAACTCCGTTGTTTCTTAGTACTGTAGCCGTATGGACTCTATATTAGCACGTCAGCTAGAAACACAGGTGTCTGATTAGGGTCCACACAGAGAATGTCAGCCAGTGTGGGAAGTTATTAAAATACAATGAATTATGGCAAAAAGGAAAAAGGAAAACCTTATGATTCTATTGAGGCATTTAACAGAATCCAGCCGTTACGAATAAATGCTCTGAGGATTGAAAGGAAACCGTTAAAGGAGACTTTGTTCTGGAACAAAATCCAAAACGAGACAGCTCCTCCCAGCTAATAAAAAATGTTGGAGAAAAAAGGAAACAACTGGCACACATCTGGAAAAAGAGTAAAAATTATAGTTACGGATAGTACGCACCCTCTTTACTAGAAAAGTCCTCTTTACTAGGGAAACAGGTAGGGCTGTGGGTCGAGGTCAGCGTGGCAGGGGCGGGGTTCCGAGTCCCAGGTGGCAGTGGAGATGGAGCAGGGCCCCCCGGGGGACCATGGAGGAAGGCCGGCCACAGAGGCTTGCTGCGAGAGCTGTGGCAGTGGACGCAGGTCCCCTGCAGGCCTAGCTGCGTCCTGTTGTGTGGCAGGCGTGGTCCTGTCCCAGGGCAAGTCTTTCTCGTTGGAGACGGAGTGTGTGCCCCGCGGGCAGGGAGCTCAGACAGGGAGACGCTGGACAAAGGGACGGAGCCGCGCAATGTGACATCTCGTCACGCTACTCAGCATGGCTTGCAATTTAAAACATGAATTTTTTATTTCTGGACTTTTCCATGTAATACTTTCAGTCTGTGGCCAACCGCGGATAACCGAAAGGGAAACGCGGATGCGGGGAACGCGGGGAACGTTCTTCTCAGTGGCCCGGGGGGCGGCACACGGGGCCGGGTTCTGTCCTCGGGCTGCCCAGCCTGCCTGAGCCCCTGGCCGTGCTGTCCTGTCCTGTCCCTGCTCCTGGCCACCTTTCCAGCTCTGGGCCTGGTGTCCGTGAGGTGACCACCCTGAGGGGCTCTGAGCCTCCTGGGGGCCCAGGACTGTCCTGAGTGCTCGGTGTTGATTCTCCCCTTCCTGCTGCTTCCCGTCTGTGGTCGGCCTTCACCGTGAGAGACAGTGGCCTGCTCTCCCGTCCCACGGCGCTGTTCGTCCTGGCTTCAGTCGCCCTTGGCTGTCAGATGTGTATGTCGTCTTTCGTGTGGACGTTCGCATCCCAGATCTGGTCCTCCTGACGTGGCCCGCGCGTCCCCACCTCGGCCCGTCCCATCATCCCGACCCTTATTCATGGGCACGTGCAGCCCTCCCTCAGGACCCCCCCGCTGCAGCCGCGTGTCACCGTCAGTACCCCGACAGTCACCCTCACTCCACGCCAAGCCGCTGCCATTCCCTCACAGCTGTCACTCCAGTTGTCACCACCACCCCCACACCCCAGGCCACCAGGCCCCCCCGTCCTGAGACTCACCAGAAGGCAGTCAGCCCTTCCTCCCTCCCTCGGTTAGTACTTCACCGGCCTGCGGCTCCTGTGGTTTCGGGGACTTGCATCCGAGGGCCTGGGGGTGGCCCGCTGCAGCACCAGGAGACCACAGTGGAGGGCAGCGTGCTTGTTGTGGTGGCCGGGAGCATGGGTGAGGGGATGACAGTCGGCCTCGGGCCACCGCTGCACAGCAGCTACTGGTCTGGGGGTCCTGGCGGGTGGTACCCTCGCCACCGGGACACACCTTTCGGCTGGTGCCTCAGCTGCACCTTTGGAGGCCAGTAGTTGACACGTGGCTCTGCCCTGCCAGCAGCTCTGGGTGGCGAGAGGGGGCTGGGCCTGTGGGCCACGGTCCTGACCAGCCCCTGGTTCTGGGTGACACTCTGCAGCTTCCGACATGGGCAGTCCTCAGGCGGGGCTAGGGAAGGCTGGCCACACCTGCGGTCGGTGCCGGCTCTGCCTCAGCGCACCCTGCTGTTGGGTCCTCAAGGCAGACAGGCGGCCACAGCTGCCGGCCTGCCCACCATCCCACCCACTGCGTCCTCTGCAGGGCAGCTCCCTGGGGGTCCACAGACCCTCCCCACCTCCTGTCCCCAGGCCACCAGCCTCGGTGCTTCGCTGTCCACAGAGCCGACTGAGGCCGTCCACGTTCAGCTCATGCCAGCACCCAAGCCGACCTGCGGGGACTGAACTTCCTCCCTGCCATTGGCAAGTTGCGTGGCAGAGCCTGGGAGTAGCGTGAGCTGCAAAGGGGTCAGGGCAGTGGGGGCTGGTGGGCCAGGCTCCCACATGTGCCGCTCACAGAAGCCCCAGGCCAGTCCTGACGGCGTTCCACACTGCCGGCCCCCAGCAGAGGCTGGCCCTTTCTGTCTGCGCTCGGACTTGGTGCAGATGGAACCTGACCAGTGCTGTCCTTTGGGTCTGCCGTTCGGGGTGGCGGCGAGGGACCCATGTGGTCCTCTGCGCTCGGACTTGGTGCAGATGGAACCTGACCGGTGCTGTCCTTTCGGGGTGGCGGCGAGGGACCCACGTGGTTCTGCGTGTTGCTGGCACGTCTCTTTGTTTCCGAGCGGTGCATCACTGTCACTCCAATTGTCCCTCCACCCCCCGTGATGGCTACATGGGTGGCGTCCAGGTCGAGGCCGTTGCGAAGGGCCGTTCAGAGCGTCCTCGAGTCAGTGTTTCATGGCCCATTTGCATGTCTCTCAGGTGCTGCCTGAGAGCGCGATTGCCGGGCCGAGGGGAGATGCGGGTTTGAGTTTGAGCCGTTGTCCACCAGCTTCCACGCTGTGCCAGAGGTCCCCAGCAGTGGAGGTCCTGTCTGTGGCATCTTGACACTTGGTGCTCAGGTGGTCAGACCCCCCTGTCAGACTCGAGCCCAGCTCTTGGTGGGAAACGGACCCCCCCCACACACACACACACGATTGGAATCTGCATCTCCCTGATGGTAAAGATGCTGTGCACATTTTATGTGTTCGTTGGCCTATTTTGAACCTTTTTCAAAGTAGAAAAGACCACTTTTTAAATTATCTTTAGCAGAATTATTGTCAATTTGTAATTCTGATCGTTACATGTTGTCATGTATTTAAAGGTTCTTTTAGAGAGACAAGTTCAAATATTAATAGGTAAAACGTGTTTGGGATTGGCTTCAGAGTTTTTCAAGGGTGTGTGTGAAATAGGGTGAAGGGAGGGTGGGGTTCACAGGTGTCTCTCTGCCTGTGTATGTGTTTGAAATTTTCTGTAATTAAGTGTCTTTCTTAATTAGCCCCTACCAACAGTTCGATGCTATGTTAGTTGAGTATGGCGCAGACCCTCCTCTTTAGTTTGTTTCGGACCCCTCTGCTCACACTCCTTTGTATCTCGCATCTTACAGTTTGGACAGTTTGACCTGTGTCTTCCGTGAGTCTCTGCCTCCAGCATCCTGGGCTGACGGGGTCCTCAGAGTTGGCTCGCAAGTGGAGGGCTGGCTGGCGGGGGCTGGGGAGTGCTGGTCACTGGAGTGTAAGGTGTCAGAGCTGGTTCCTTCCAGAGTAGCCCCACACTGCACTGGAGGTTCAGGAAGCAGACAGGAGGCTGGCGGGGGTGGGGGTGGTGCAGAGAGCGGGGAGAGGAGCAGCATTGGCCTTAGGGAGCGACCTCCGTCACCTCTCTGTTCTCAGCATGCTGTCTTAGGTGACTTGGGTTTTTCTGAAGCTAGACAGTGTGACCACGGGCTGCATCTGAGCCACAGCGGGAGGCTGTAGTGCAGTGTGTCCCCTGTGGTCTGAACACCTCAACAGTGCAAAGGCGGTCAGCAGCCAAGAGTACATGACAGATACTTTGACATTCCAACCTTAAATACTCCTGTTCTCACTCTAAACATTTTAGTACTAATACAGTCAACAGTAACATTTAAAAAGTAGGACTTCTCAGGTATCAAGTAATCCCAGCCAGTGCTCGTTCTGGGAAGTACCCACTGGCCTGTGGCCGGGGGTCTGGCCTTCCCTGGGGGGTTGTCCCATGTTTCCTGCCCTGGAAATGAGAGGAGAGGCCCACCATCAGGGTCTCAGGGCACTTGCTCCTTGCACCTACCACTGCCAGTCGACCTGTTCAGGCAACCCAGCTACCCATCACCCACCCATGTCCCAGAGCAGTTTATGGCCATGTGGTTTCAAAGAGGTGAACCCAAGGTCCTTGCCTTCTTGGTTTAAAATGTGTGGTTGGGTCTGTTCTTTCTCCACCCTCAGGTTGTGACTCGGCTGATTCATCTCTTGGGTGAGAAGATTCTGGGCAGCCTTCAGCAGGGAACTGCAACAGGTATGTCCCCAGGCCTGGCGCCTGGGAGCCCCTACCCATCCAAACCTGGAGCCCCTCCCGCTAAACCTGGAGCCCTGCCCACAGCCCCGCCCACCAAGCATGGAGCCACACCCACCAACCCCTAGCCCTGCCCACACCCCCGCCCACCAAGCATGGAGCCCTACCCTGTGGTCTGCGTCTGTCATAGTCAACAGCCTTCCACTCTAGACTCCTTGCTGTTCTGTGACCTCTGCCCCCTCTGCCCTGAGCACCCTCTGCAGAGTCCACTCCTCCCCCTACCCCAAGCCACTCTGAGCCCCATGCATAGCCTCAGCGTAGCCTCAGCGTAGCCTCTCTGAGCCCCATGCACCATGATGCTCCCAACTCCTCAGTTCCTGTTTTCTGCTTCACTTTCCTCCTCTGCACTTGTCGCCACCCCCTGGCACATCACATGTCTCCCCAGCTGGCGTTTGCTGTCTCCTGCACCGCTGTGTAAGCTGCAGGAGGATGGGTGTCACGTCCCTTCTCTCTGGCGAAGCCCCTTTGACAACAGCTCTGTAGAGCAGGTCCATGGCCACCTGTCCTCTTAGCTCCCCTTCACCCGAGCCCACCTGCACGCCCCGCCCCACGGGGGGGACGACATATGGGGTCCTGCGCCCACAGTCCCTCGCAGGGCTGCGCCTCTTCCCTCTGGCCTCCAGGGTGCTCCTGTGCCTTGTTCCTGAGCACAGGGAGTCGTGGGGACTTTGTCTTTTAGTTTTTAGAAGTTTGATCTTGGAGTGTCCGGGCGTGAATTTCTCTGGGTTTATCCTGTTTGGGGTTTGCTCATCTTCGTGAATCTATAGGTTTGTAGCTTACCGAATTTGGGAAGGTTTCAGCTTTTTTTCCTTCAAACATTCTTCAGCCCTCTACTCTTTCTGTTCCTCTGGGATTCCTGGGTTTGCTGTTATCCCAAAGGGCTCTGACGCACAGTTTTAATCTTTTTCTCTCCCTCGTGTTTTGGTTGAATAGTTTCTTTTGATCTGTCTTCAAGGTCATTGGCTCTTCCTCGGCTCAATTCTGCTCTTCAGCCCATCCAGAGAGTTTTGTTTCCGTCATTCTGTTTATGCCTCTGTTTCAGGACCGTTCGTGACCGCTGTTTCTCTCTGATCACAGCCTTATTGTCCTTGTCAGGTCATTCCAAATTCTGAGACATGTTGTCGTTTTCGTCTGTTGATGTCTTTTTCCTTGTTCTAGTTGAGATTTTTCTGGGTCTTGGTATGCCTGGTGATTTTGGACTGTACCCCGTTTTTTGAGTCTTATGTCGTGAGACTGCTTCCGTTTAAGGCTTCTATTTAAGCAGACCGTCGGTGTGCTCACGTTCACGGAGCACGTCCTGGCCCTCCCTCCTGGGCTGCTTCAGTGCGCATGGAATTCTCAGGGCCTCTGCAGTGGTACCTGGGTCTGCCCATGTGTGCGCTGCCCAGAGCCAGCGAGGGCTGGCTGGTGCTGCACACCATACTCAGTCCCCAGAGCCACCGCTGTGTGATTCTGGCTGGTTTCGTGCATGGTCTTGGCGCTAGAGTTAGAGAATTCCTTTTTCCCCTTCCCCCTTCTCTATGGTCTTCTCTATGGGGGTGCCAGCTCTCCTGGTTAGTGCAGGACGTGGGGGACTGGGGGCTCCACCCCACTGTGTCTACAGCCCCACGCAGGTAGGAAGCCTGTGTTTGCTTAGTGCTTGGGGCCCCTGGAAAGTAGGCAGCACTCAGTGTTAGGAGGATGGCTGGGCCCTGCCTGCCTGGAGCTGGGAAGCGGTGGGGCTACTGCCGCTTCCGTGGCATTCATAGGGCGTTTTCCCAAGAGTGACGGTCCCAAACCGGGCTGTCTTCCTCTCTGCGCCCTTCTGAGTCTCCTGAGAGCTGGGTCCTTGTGAGTGGTGACAGCGGTGGGATGTGCCTACTCCTCTCCCCTTGGCCAGAACCAGAACCTCCCATGTGCCTGTCCTGAAGGCCCAGACTCCCGGCCCTTCCTCACAGGGAGGGCTTCCCCGGGAAAAGGTTGTGGGAAGCAGGGGCAGGCCCTCTGCTGCCCTGTGTGCGCCAGTGCCCAGCTCCCAGGCCTCATCTTCTTTCCCTGCCCCGAGTTGCTCCCAGCAACCCACTCATCCCGCCGTCCTGCATTCCCCTCTCTGGCCCCCAGGTCAGGCTGTGCAGGCCTGACACACTTCAGCGCTAGGGACTGTCCTCAGAGGCTCAGGGCACTGCCCCGGGAACTAGCGCTGATGTCCAGGGGGTCGCTGTGTCCTCCCCACAGTGTCTGAGATGAAGAACATGTCTGTCCATCATCCAAACAGATGGCTTCCTCTTTCTAGAGCGAGTGGTGAAGACCCCTAGGAGGCTGGTTCAAAGGACAGGGCCCCGCCCGGCAGCGTATCTTAAGGGTTTGAGTTTTCTTGGCTCTCACATTCATTCCCACATGCCACGCCTCTGTCTCAGCGTCTCCTTCAGTGGGCCTGCCCTGGTGTGCCAGGTGCTCAGCGGCCAGTGGGGGAGAAGCTCTAGTCACGAGACCTGGTGCCCATCTCTCGTCCCAGGCTGCTTGTGCCACGTGTCATCCAGAAACAGATAGGGACACTTTGAAATTATCACAGGGCCAGCCAACACAGGACCCTGTGCTTCACAGGTCACCAGTTCGGGCTACACTCTGCAGGTGGCAAGTGGGACTCGGGGATCCCCGCCAGCAACCTCTCTACGGTGGCCGTCATGCCTGTGTCGGAGGATGTGCCCCTCACCGCCTTCGCCCTGGAGCTCAAGCATGCCCTCAGTGCCATCGGTAAGCCCCACCCAATGGCCATAGGCCTGGCCAGATGCCTCCTCCTCCCCTGCTCCGTAGGTCCTTCCAGGTTCTTCTGACACGGGAGCTAGTGTGGCCCTCACAGCCAAGCCCTGGGGGTGCTGGGGAGGGCAGAGAGCTGAAGCCCCCGAGGAGTCCCTCTTGGGGTCTGAGCCTGCCAGGGGCATGCACAGCTGCTCCGCCCCTTGGCAAGGATGCCGCAGTGGCGAGGGGGCTGGCTGCCGCTCAGGCAGGCCTTAGGCTGCAGTCGGGAAGCTGGGGCAGCGGTTCCAAGTTCCTGACAGCGGTGAAGCTTTGGGATTCAGGAAGCAGGAATTGACATTCCCGCGAGCTCTTAGACGTTCCCAAGCCATTGAGCATTCTTCATTCTTCAGACTTCATGCATTTTATGCGGTTGTGAGTGACCACAGTGATAGACAGTAGGTCAGTTTTCTGTGCTGCGGTCATACTAAGTTCTGGGGTCCTCTTCAAAAAACGGTGCAGCAGATATTATGTCACTGTCATAGACGTGCTTGTGATGGGAGCTTCCGTGCCTGTGGAAACGCTCTCTGTCTGATCCAGGCATGCGATAACAAAGCATTCCTAGGCGCCAAACAGAAATGCTTTATAAAACAAGGCTACTTCCACAGATATTTAATATTTACAAGTTACTCTCAAGATGACATTTTAAAACTCAGAAGGCTCGATGCGCCCGCTGCCTCCGCCTCTGTCTCGTAAAGCACGCCGCAGCGTGCGACCCGCCCCTCTGCCGCCCGCACCGCCGCCTGCGGCCAGCCGCGGCCATCCTCAGGTGCACAGTGGAGGCGCGCTGCTTCAGAAAAGCTTGTTCCGTTCTTTAGAAAAGTGTTTTATTTTCAAATAATTGTAGATTCACAGGAAGTTACAAAACTAGTAGACAAATCCACGGCCCCGGAACTGCAGCATCCGGACCCGGAAGCTGACACGTGCACGGCCCCCGTGCGGTCTGCAGATGCCCCTAGTTCTGCGCATGCGCGCGTGCACCGTGCTGTTGTGGCTCTGGCGTCGGTTCCTGCAGTCGCCCACCCCACAGCCCTCTCCCAACGAGCATCATGAAAAGGGAGCCAACAGTATGTGGCCTTCGCAGTTGGCTTTCTTCGCTCAGAATGACGCCGCGTGTCGCTAGCACGTCCCCTCCCTGCCGAGGAATGCCAGCGGTCTGGCCTGCACGGGTCCGCGCGCCTTCACCTGCTGACGGGGCGCGTGTCCCGCGTGGGGTTTGTGAGCTGCTCTGCGACGGCGTGCGGGAAGGGGCTGCGCGCGCGAGTGCGCCCCTCCGAGGACATGGGCAGGATCGGGGTCGTGACGGCCGCGAGGACTCCCGGAGCCGCGGCCCCCGTGCTCCCGCCGGCGGTGTGCAGTGCTGTCCCGTGTCCACGGCCTCGCCAGCGCTCGGTGTCGTCACCGGCTCATCTTGCTGCTCGGGTGCGTGGGTGGAGAGCGCGTCACGCTTTCCCTTCGTTCCTCCGTTGGTAGGTGCTGCCGGGGCCTTTCCTGCGGTCAGCCCTGCGCCCCTCCCGGGTGGCGCGCCCCACAGACCTCGTCCTGGCTGCGCAGGTCCCAGGATGCTGTATCCAGCCCCCTGCTGGGCGTCTGGTTTACAGATGCTTCGCTGCAGTCTCTACTCGTGTTTTCAGCCTCTTGACGCTATTGACGAAGTCCAGTTCATTGATTTTTTCTTTTCTCAGCCGTGCTTTAAACATCTTTTCTAAGAACTCTCCACCTAGCCCTAGGGCCTAGGTTTCCTCCTGTATTTTTTGTAAAAGGCTTGCAGCTTTCATTTAAATCTATGATCTGCTTTTAGGCTAATTTTTGTATAGAGTGTGATATCTAGGTAGAGGTTAATTTTTTTTGCAAGTGGCTGTCCAGTTGCCCCAGTACCATTTGCTGAAAGACACCCCCTTCCTCCATCAAGTGGTCTTGGCGCCCCTGTTGACGATCATGTGACATGTGTGAGGCTCTGGCTCACGGTTCCGTTCCACTGCCAGCACCGCACTGTTTGGTGACTGTAGCCTTATAGTCTGTTTTCAAATCAGGAAGTCCGGGTCCTCCAGCTTTGTTCTTCACCAAGATTGTTCCGGCTGTTCAGGGTCTCCCGAGACCTGTATGGATTTTAGGGTGCGCTTTTCTACACCTGAAAAAACGACACCGGGGTTTTGACGGGGACGGCACTGGTGGCTGACGTCTTCCCGTTACTGTGTCTTCCAGTCCGCGATCACGGGGTGTTTCCACTTATCTGCGTCTTTAATTCCTGTCAGCAGTGTTTGTGGTTTTCAGTGTGTTTCACCTCCCTGGTTAAGTTTATTCCTAAGTATCTTACTGTTTTTGATGCTGTTGTAAATGGAATTATTTTTTTAGCCTTTTTTGGTATGTTTATTACTGCTATACAGAAACACAGCTGACTTTTCTGTGTTGGTTTTATATCCCGCGACTTCATTTGTTGGTTGTAAGTTTCTTGGTGAACTTTTGAGAGTTTTCTGTATTTAGGATCCTGTCTGCAAACCAAGATAGTTTTGCTCCTTCCTTTCCAGCCTCGATGCCTTTTCTATGTTCTCTCGCCTGACCGCTCTGGTTAGGACGCCTGGCACCATGTAGAATGGCAGTGGTGAGAGCCGGCATCCTAGCCTCCTTCCTCGTCTTAGGGGAGGCTTTCAGGCTGTCACCATTGAGTATGATGTCACCTGTCAGTTTTTTATGTATAGCCTTTAATATGTTGAAGAAGTTTCTTTGTTGAGTGTTTTTATTATAAAAAGACGTTGAATTTTGTAAAGTGCTTTTTCTGTATCAATTGAGGTGATTGTGTGTTTTTTTCCCTTCATTCTGTGAATATGGTTTATTTCATCCATTATGATATTACAGTGTTAAACCATCCTTGCATTCCAGGAACAAATCTCACCTGGTCATGGTATATAAACCTCTTAATATGTTGCTGAATTTGGTTATCTAGTATTTTGTTAAGTATTAATAAAGATGATTCATTTGTAATTTTCTCATGGTGTCTTTGTCTCATACTGGCTGTGGTATCAGGGTGATGCTGGCCCCATGGAACAAGTTAGAAAGTGTTCAATTCAATATTTTGGAAGAGTTCAAAGATGACTGGTAATTTTTCTTTAAATATTTAATAGAATTCACCAGTGGAGCTATGTCATCCAGGGCTTTTCTTTGTTGGTTTTAGTATCATCATCGTCATCATCGTTATTATTATTACTGCTGATTCAATTTTCTCACTAGTTATAGGCCTATACAGATTTTTTATTTCTTCATGTTTCAGTCTTGGTACATCTTGTGTTTCTAGGAATTTGTCCATTTCCAGGAAATTATCCAATCTGTTGACGTACAATTATTCACAGTGCTCTCTTACACTTCTTTTCATTTCTGTAATATTGATATTGCCCCATCATTTATGATTTTAGTGGTTTTAATCTCTTTACTCGTCTAGTTGAAGATTTGTCAGTTTCGTTGATTCTTTCAAAGAACCAACTTTTAGTTTAATTTATTTTCTCTATTGTTTATTTTCATGTGTTTTACTTATTTCTGTTCTAATCTTTATTTTTCTCTTCCTTCCGTTAGCTCTGTTTAGTTTGATTATCTTTTTCTAGTTGCTTAAGGTGTGGCGTTATGTTGCCGATCTGAGATCTTTCTTGTTTATCATGTGCACACCCATGGCCATACCCCGCTTGGCACTGCTGTCACCAAGTCCTGTGAGCTTTGGAATGACGTATTTTCATTTGTCTCAGGTATTTTCCAATTTCCCTGTGACTTCCTGGACCCACTTGTGTAAACACGTGTTGCTTAATTTACACGTTTGTGAACTTTCCATTTTTCCTGCTGTTGATTTCTAGTGCTCTGGAAAGTGACTTTGTGTGATTCGGGTCTTTTAAAGTTTACTAGGACTCCTCTTGTGGCCCACCCTGCATTGTGTCCTGGGCAGTGCTCTGTGTGCTCACGACGGGCGTGTCCGCTGCGGCCCGTGGCCAGTCTCCCCGCTTCCCCCGTCCGGTGCATGCGCAGCGGCTTCCCGCCGTGGCCCCAGTGTGCGCTGCCCGTGACTGGGAAGCTTGCTTGCTCATGGGCCGTTGGGACGCCTGTTGGTCACCCGCCCTTTTGTCAGGCTGCCCTCTTTCCTTGTCAGTGAGCAGAGTTCTCTGGGTAACGTGGATACAGTTTCTGTTTTGGATGCAAAGATAACAGCCATCTTTCCCTCTCTGTGGCTTGCTCTCATGTTCCTTTAATGATGCCTTTTGACAAATAGAAGTTCTTCATCCTAACCCTGCCACGTCCCCGAGGGTCCCCCAGGGCCCCCGAGTCCAAGTAGGGAGGCTGAGAGAGGAGATGGGCACCTGGGCGTGCTCCCGCAGCCAGACACGACCCGCCTGTCCTGTCACATCTGCACATCCAGCAGGTGGACAGGCTGTCACCGCAGCACCCAGGCAGGCCCCCCCTCCCAGGCCCGTGGTGCGGTCTGGCCCTGAGGCCATCTGTGCGGATGACCGACCAGAGCTGGGGCGCCTCCTAGCAGGGTCCGACCCCCGGAGCAGGAGTGCCCCCTGAACCGGCCTGCGCCCTCCACCCCACCCGCAGCGCATCAGCAGGCCTCTGCCACCTGGTGCAGAGCCGTGGATGCGGCCAGGGCGGGCCCGAGCCACCCTCAGGGGGGCAGCTGTTCTGCAGGTGAAACACTCAGCTTGAGGAGATAGGTGACTCTCACCTTTTAGTAGACGCCCATGGTGGGCGCTCAGGTGCGGGTGTGGGAGGAGCCCTTGGTGTCCCCACACTCTCCCTGCTGTAGGGCAGGGCTTCAGGGCCTCCTCAGCCCAGGCCCTGGGGGTCCCCGGCTGCCCAGCACACCACGCAGAAGCCCTTCTGAGACTGCGCGGTCCCGGCTTCGTCTCGCACCCCAGAGGCCTTTCCTGAGCTCTGGCACTGGCCCTCGAGGGCGTGCAGGCCCTGATCACGCTGTCTGTGTGGACCGTGGCTCTACGATGTGTTGGCGGAGGCGCCTGCTGGTTTCAGGGACGCCTGTGTGAAAAGCTGCGTGTCTCGGCCCCGGGGAACTACACCGTGTTGGAATCCAGCCAGCCTCACTGGTCTGGACGTGGGAAATTACATCATCTGACTTTGCAAGCTGTGCTTGCCCTGCTCCCCTCACATAGCCTCAGTGCTGCAGGTTAGACTCCTCTGAGTAGATGAGGAGACCTAGGTTCAGAGAGGCCCCCCTTTCTGTACTTGGTGAGCTCCTGAACTGGTGCGGGCTCCCACCCGCGGGGCTCAGCACGCACTTTGCACCAGGTGGACTCACCTGCCCAGAGGTCTCCTCTTCAGGGACAGAGGGAATGGTCACCTCGGGCCATAGGCACTTACTCATTGGAAGGTGAAAGGTTTTGGGGGGCTCTCGAGACGCGCAGACGGGGTGGAGGGACTGGGGGCGCTCGTGAGAAGCGCAGAGGGGGGACTGGGGGCACTCGTCTCCTGCAGGCAGGCCTCATCCTGACGGGGGCGGCTGCCACGGCGGGTTTCCATCATCAGTGGCTCTGTTTTCAGGCCCCATCCTGCTGCTGACCAGTGACAACATAAAGCAGCGCCTTGGCTCTGCTGCTCTGGACAGGTACACTGGCTTCCAGCCGGGCTTCCTGCTGGGGTCTGAGCACCACTGCAACGAGCCCCCTGTCCGCATGCGCCCTGGGTCAGCCCCCTTGTCTGTGCCCCTCCATGTCTCCAGCCCCTTGACTGCGCCCCGTGTCCACGCGCCCCATCTGTGCCCTCCAGTACCCACGAGTACCGGCTGTGCAGCTGGTTGGGGCAGCAGGAGGACATCCACCGAATCGTGCTCTACCAGGCAGACAGCACGCTCACGCCTTGGACCCAGCGCTGCATCCGGCAGGCAGACTGCATCCTCATCGTGGGCCTGGGCGAGCAGGAGCCCACAGTGGGCGAGGTGGGCGGGACCGCCAGGTGGGACAGGGTGGCGGGGGTGGGGCTTCGGCTGGCTGGTGTGGCTGAGGAGCTGCGCGGGTGAGGCCTGGGTTCTGCGTCTCCCCTGCTCTGCACTGTCTGCTTATTTCCACCTTCCTGGGCATGAAGTGGGGCCTCGTCATTCCTTCAGGTGGCACTTGCCACCTCCTTCCTCTGCTGCATCACTGTTCTCACGAGCTTCTGCCACTGTGATTGCCGGGCAGCTAAAAATCCCTCCCCTGGTGCAGAAGTCATTAGAGGCGCTCCGGGGTGTTCAGAAGGCAGCGTTAGAGAAACGGCCCCGCCCTCTGGCCACGCCCCTACCCGCAGACCCTGCCCCCAGCCAGGCCCCTGCTCCCCAGCCCAGCTGTTCACAGAGTCAGGGTGCCGCGGCCAGGGCCCTCCCTCCCGGCCTGTGCGGGGCTGCTCAGCACGGTGGTTTCCACCGTGGGACCTTTAGGGACAACCCCATCCTGCCCTTCGGCTCCATCCTGCCGGACCTCAGGTCACCGGGCTGCCTGACCGCAGGCTCTGCACTTCCACAGCTGGAGCGGATGCTGGAGAGCAAGGCCGTGCGCGCCCAGAAGCAGCTGATCCTGCTGCACCGGGAGGAGGGGCCGGCCCCGTCCCGCACCGTGGAGTGGCTGAACATGCGTAGCTGGTGTTCCGGCCACCTGCACCTCTGCTGCCCGCGCCGCGTCTTCTCCAGGAGGAGCCTGCCCAAGCTGGTGAGGCCGGGACGCAGGGCAGGGGCGCTCAGCTGCAGCCCACAGCCCGGTCCCGACTCGCCCCTTCTGCGCTCTGATTCTCCGCTGTCGGAGCTGTCAGGGCTCCGCCGCCGGTGGCTCACCTCTCCGCGAGGCGGTGAACCGATTGTGAGCGCACGTTTGAGCCTAGCCACAAGGTGGCGCCCGCGCTCCCCGAACAGGCGGGGCCCAGGGCATCGGGATGAGCCTGTGATCCTGGAGGGTCCCGGGGGCCTCAGGTCAGCGTTGTCCCTTCCTTGGGGTAGGAGCACATGCAGGCCCTAGGGCACCTCTTCTGGATGGTGTCTTCAGTCCTGGGGGTTGGGCAGGGGGGAGACCGCAGAAGCTGCCCACATGCGAAAGCCTGCCTGGCCCCACGGCTCCGTGGACCGCGTCTTGACACCTGCATCCATGCCTGAGAACCCTGCCCTGTGCACGCTCCACCCTGAGGCAGGGTTTCAGCTGAGGTTTGCTTAGTGTCCCTTTGGGGACAGCTCTCTAGGGCTCTGTGGTCTCCTGCTGGGCTCGTGGTTATGTGGTCCAGCCGCCTGCACTGCCCACTCACCCGGGTGGCCCTTCTGAAAACATCCTCCTGGGAGAGCCTGGGCACCAAGGTGCTGGCAGCGTCGGTATGTCCTGGACAGAGCCGTGTGTCACTTCCCAGGCCCACGTGAACTCAGCCCAGCCCTCCCCTTCTGGCCCCTCAGGCAGAAATGTACGAGCGGGTCTTCCAGAGGCCCCCAGACCGCCACTCGGATTTCTCCCGCCTGGCGCGGGTGCTGACCGGCAACGCCATCGCGCTGGTGCTTGGAGGAGGGGGAGCAAGGTGAGTCCCCGCCTGTGCGCCTGTGCTCCGTGCGCGCATGCGCGGGGCGATGTCCTCAGCGGTGTAGCTGCGCCCAGAGCACATCGCCCAGCCCAGCAGAGCCTCCCGCAGGCTGTCCCAACTCACGCCCCTCGAATTGGCCACCCGGGCTTTAAGCATTGCCAGAGCAGCAGAAGAAAACTTACATCTTGTTCTGATTGTGCCTGGAGCCTCTTGAGTCTCCTTTTCTGGAAACTGTTCTGTCCTTTGCCAGACTTTCCAGTGGGCTCCGGTGAGCCTTTCCATTTTAACCCGTGCTTAGTAGAGTGACAGCCGGATCTGATCTGCTCTCGGGCCTCTGAAGCCGAGCTCCTTAGAGGACTCACAGCCCAAACACTTGTGTCATACTGACCTTGTACGCCTCCCCTGAACTTAATCTTTTTTTTTTTTTTTTTAATTATTTATACCTACAGCACCTGGTCTTTTTAGGCGGTCTCCCATCCAAGTACTAACCAGGCCCCACCCTGCTTAGCTTCCGAGATCAGACAGGGCTCGTTCAGGGTGGCATGGCCATAGACCATGGGCTGTGGCTCCACTGGGGTGCGAACCCAGGACCTTCTGCATGTAAAGCAGACGTGCTAACCACTAAGCTATGGAACCACATCCCGCTGAACTTAGTTTAAGAGAAATATACATGGAACAGACTCAGAGGCCAGTGCTGAGGGTGTGATGAGGCCAGGGCTGTCCTTGGTGAACTGGGGGGCAGAGTGGCACCTCCCACAATGTCTGCCACTGGGCTGGGTGCAGGGCTGGGGATGCCCTGTGGGCTGGAGCTCCCCGTGCCCACCCCCCACCCTCGCACGGGTGGACATCAGCACTGCTGGCCGAGTGAGTGCTCAGGCAGTCCCTCCTCTGGCCCTGTTAGCGGGGCCCCCGGGTGCTCTGTGCCCAGGTGAAAGTGCCCCAAGGACATGGCTTTCAGAGTGAGCTGGGAAAGGGAGGGGCCAGCAGGCCAGAGCCCTTGGCCGTTGCTGTGATGAGAGGCACTGTGCCCAGATGTCTCGTCTCGGCCCCTGCAGTCGGACCCGTGCTCAGGCCAGCTGGTCTGCTCCTCTGCAGTTCCGGGCAGGGAGGTGCGGCCCACTGCCAGGCTGGGGACCCAGAGCCTCTTCTTTGGGGAGGCTCAGAAGAGCAGTGCAGCCGAGCCCCAAAACTGCTCATGTAACTGGACTCACGACTCACTGTCCCCGCTTCCCCAGATGGGGGACTCCGAGGTGTGAAGGCCTGCTCTAAAACCCTTACAGGCAGGAGGGCCCTTACCCCCACACCCCTACACTCCCCTACTCCCCACCCTGTGCCTCTTCATGGCACACGCTACTGCCTGCTGCTGCCCAGGAGGGGCCTCACCCTGCTCTCGGCTGCCGGCCCTTCACGTGCTATTCCTGTTACCCCAAACCCGGCCTGGCCCAGGGGCACAGTGCAGAGCACTCTGTTCTTTTACCTCTGGTCCCCAGCATCGTCTGGTGCCACACTTTTACTGGGAAGCTGAGCCGATGGGCCTAGAAAGTCAGGTGATTTGCCTGAGGTTGCAAGCTGGGGGCAGGATGTTGAGGTGGCCCCAAGCAGTGGACCCAGACCTGGCTTGCAGGGCAGAACGGCCTGACCGGGAGCATTTCTGATGGAGATCTAGTTTTAATCAAAGTGGTACTCGGTCGCAAAGCCACGTGGCCATTCTCTAAGGCACATGGGGTCAGTGGCAAAGCAGAGCAGCCCTCTGCCCATCCAGCCCAAACCCAGGCGCAGCCACTTCCGACCGCTCAGCCGCCGCTCGTCCACGTCGCTAAGCAGCATTCCTAGTCTGCATTTTGTTCTGTAGTTTCACATTACTGGGTTCCTGACCCCCTCCCTTGCAGTCATCCTGTCGATGGCTGTCATCTCATCCATCACCCATCTGCTACCTATCAGTCATCCATCATCCGTCCCCCATTATCCCTCATCTATCACTTATCTGTCACCTGTCCACCATCCATCTCTCCATCTATCTTCTGTGTATGTATTCGACCCCTCCTTACCGCTCATAATCCCAGTGTGGCTCCTCCCTAGCGACGCCTCGCCTCCGTTTACGTCACGGTGACAGAGCTGTCACATCGTATTGGGTAGTGCGACCGTATTGCCTTCTTCGGGCTTAACTGTTGCTGCAGCTGCCATTTGCTCAGTTTTCTGGGCTTCACTAATTCCTCTCGGACTCTGCTGGGAGCGTCAGGCCTCAGTGCGCTTGGCCCGCAGGGGCGTCTCTGCTGACCCCGTTTGGGGGCTGCCTGCCCACCCCCTCGCTCTGCCGCTGCCGGGGACCCTCCCCCATCACCTTGGGAGCTGCCCGTGTCTCCTGTGTTTGGCTCCACTTCCTGGGGCCCATGTCGTCCTCCTCCTTGATCCATTCCTGGTTTTGGTAGGGCTCATACTCTAGAACTCTCCTTAGAGAAAAAGAGGTTAAGTGGGAGGTAAAAGTTTTAAGCACGAGGCACAGGGGATGTCCTCATTCTGCCGAAAGTTGGGGTGTGGAATTGTGGACGGACGCGATTTTCTCTGAGACGTACTAAGGCGCGGTCCCATGGCCTTTGGCTTCCAGTTGAGAAGGTCAGCGCCGTTGTTACCTGTGTCTCTGGGGAAGCTTCTGAGACAGCCCGACTCTTGTTCTGCCGACGGGGCGTGAGCGCGTACCTGGGTCCACCCCTGTTCATCCCCACGCCGCGGGCATCTCGGGGCCGTTCTTGATGCCCGCCTCTCCGTGCCCCGCTCGCCCTCCTTGGAGCCTTAGTGTTAGACGGGGCCGCTCAGGTGGACCAGCCACCCCCAGCACATCCCCTCCCACAGTTTGTCCCACTTTCTTCTGGGTGACTTATCTGAAATGTATCTTGCTACTAATCTTTCCTGCTAAAACATTTCTCTGCCTCGAGTGCTTTTTCGATAGTGTTCTTTGTCCCAGTACTGTGATGATGGATTTCTCCGAGATCACTAACGCAGCTTTTTGCTGCTTGCCTGCGTGTCCTGCTCTGTGCTGACTATGTCTGCCCTTGACCTCATCGGTGCACTGCTGAGGCCTAGGCCACGGTTGGCCATGCTTCGCTCACGCTTCCTGTTGATGGACAGCGGGCGACACAAGCGGAGCTCGCAGCTGTTCCGAGATAGGTCTCCGCATGACGTGTTCCCTTCCTCGTGGGCACACACCTGGATGAACTCCTGCGCCTGGGGCCCTCATACCATTTTACGGCCACTAGTGACGTTCGAGAGCCCTGCTCGCCATGTTTTTGTCACCCCTGGTATGGTCAGTATTTTAAAGCATGGCCATTCCGCTGTGCGGGCAGTTGTGTCCCGTCCGGTTCCAACGTGCTTCTCCCTGGGGGCCGACGACGTCGTGTGTGCTGGCCATTTGGTACCTTCTGTGAAGTGCTGTTTACGGCCCTTACCCGTGTTTAATAGGTGGCTTGGTTTTGTTACTGAGTTAGAAGAGATTTTTTTGTGGTCTGAATGTAAGTCTCCTGCCAGATGTATTTACTGCTGATACACTCTCTCAATCTTTGACTTTTCATTTTTATAATGGCAGCTTCGATCAAGTTTTTAATTTCGATGAAGTGCAGATTTCCAGTTTTTTATGGTTATTCTGCTGTTATGAAGCTCTTGCCCATCCCAGGGCCATAAAGATATTCTGTATTTTCTTCTAGAAGCTTTGTGATTCTAGCTTGCACCGCTGGGTCTGTGGCCCACCTAAGATCTGTGCGCAGTAGGAGGTGAGGGCGGCGGCCGCCCCCGCGTGGTCGTCAGGTCGCTGGCGCTCGCTGAGGCTTCCCTTCCCTGCGGCTGTGCGGGCGGATCTGTGTCGGGCTGTGTTCCGTCCTCCGTGACGCCCCCGCACTGTCTTGAGCCTCGCTTGCGGCTTTGTGGCGGATCTCGACCTCAAGCAGCGTAACTGTTTCAGTTCTGTTTTTTCAGAATTGTTCTGGACATTCTAGGTCTCTGGCACTTAAATGCGAATTTTAGAATTAGCTAAGTCTTTGTGGGCTGTTTTTGCTGTTTGAGTGTCTTGATGTTAGTTACTGCTACCCGCCCTCCCGCCCCTTTCCGTCTTCCCAGGAGGCATCAGCTCGAATCGGTCCTTTGAAAGCACCGACTTTTAGTTGTGGTGATGCTCTGCTGCATGTTTGTTTTCTGTTTTCTGGTTCATTAACTTCCGCTCCCTATTATTTCTTTAAATGTGCTCTCTTTGATTTAGATTGTTCTTTTTTCACCCTATCTTATGGGCTGCAGACATTGCGTGTACAGGGCCAGGCGCTGAGCTTTCGGTGTCTGCCGTAACCACCAAGGGTGGACGGGCTGCCGCGTCCGCGCTGCGCGTTTGAAGGAAGCGCACCCTTTTGTTCTCAGGCCGCTTTAAGGCTTTTCCTGCCTTGGGTTTTCAGTGCTGTAGGAGTGATTTTCTTTTGATTTATGCTGAGGGTTTATAATGCTACTTGAATCTGATTCTTGATGTCCATCATCGGTTCTAAAAAATTCCAAACCATTCTCTCTTCAGAAATCGCTTTTGTACTATCTTTCCGGGCCCCGGTGACATGGGGCTCAGACCTGTGCATCTCTTATGTCTAAGCTGTTTTACGTATTTTAAAAGAGAATATTTACACATTCCATCCGTTCGATGTCCTCCGGGTCCATAAACGTCTCCCTCTGAGCTCTTTATTTCGGTTTCTTTCTTCAGCAGTCTGATCTGTTAACACCCATCATCGAGTTCTTCCCTTTTTACTTTTGAAGTTTCCATTCAGTTTTATAGTTTCCAGTTCTATGCCAAAGTTATACATTTTTTATTTGTGTTAAATATTTATACCATAAAATATCATTTAAACTATTTTCGAATATGCAATTCAGTGGCATCAGGCACAGTCACACTGTGTGCGGCCATCACCACCATCCTCTCCAGAACTTTCCATCTTCCCAAACGGAAACTCTGTCCCCGTTAAACTCTCACTCCCAGCCCTGGCCCCACCGTCCACTTCCTGTCTCTCTGGATCTGACCCCTCTGGAGACCTCCTGTGAGTGGGGTCCCACGGGACGTGTCCTTCTGTGACTGGCTCGTTTCCTGAGCACCGTGTCTTCCAGGTAGCCAGTGTCAGGACTTCCTTCCTTTTAAGGCTTTGACAGCCCACCGTGTGCACACTCTGAACTTTTTTGCTCATTCATCCATCAGGAGGCACCAGTCTGTTTCTGTGTTGGCTCCTTGATGATTCTCGAGGCGCAGTCAGTTCATAGCCTGTGTCGCCATCTGTTCCTGGTTCCTTTGGGTCTGCGTCTCTCGTCTGTCTTCCCTCTGGCCGTGGCCATGGGGTCTTCTCCTATGACTGATTGGTCATCTGTGCTTGAGTGGTGAACATCGCGCATGAGAAACGGTGACAGTAGTCTGAGGCTCAGGAGGGCCACTTCAGTCAGATACCGGCTCTCCTGCTCCTGTGGGGGCTTGTCTGTGTCCCACCCACCTTGACCCTCAACTAGTGGGCCTGGGTTCAGGTCCCTACACCTCCTGACTGTCCAAAGCCCACGTAGCTGCGCCACCTCTCCGAGGCCGGCTTGCCTCCCAGGACACCAGAGAGGCACCGGACCGGGTGCAAGGTCCCTCGCTGAGCCAGAGTCTTTGCCGCATTTCCTGTGACTTAGGCGAGAGTCAGGCACTGAGGAGGAGAGGGGGGGACAGGACGGCGTCCCCGGGTGCTGGTCCTAGCAGCGCTGACTGCCTGCTCTGTGCTCCTGGTCGGTGTAGAGGCTG